CTGACTTATGGCAATCCCTTCCAGGGTGTTTCAAGTGGACGATACTCAGAAATGGTTTGCCATTCCCTCCCAACATTTTGCTCGGTAGCCAGATACCTAAACCATTGCGCCGTCCAGCCAGCAGTTGTATATTAACTCATACAGAAAAGCAGAGTGAAAGAAGCATTTCACCTGCCTTTTGTCCTCATATGTTATTTTTTATATGCAGGATGGTCAGATTTTTGTGCCTCCACCCCAGATATTTTCATATCTATATTCTTGACCTACTATTGTGAAGTGGTGCAGTCCCCCCCCCACAAAGTTTTGCCACTGGATTCTCATGATTGAAATCAATAGGCTGGAAGTCCTGACATACAAAAGAGCCTCCAGACATACAGAATGTATATCTATGGCTGTCATATTCTATCCGTTAGAGTTCATCTCACCTTAAATCATTTCACAAAAGGCAGAAATTCAGTTTTGTTGCCCACCATGGCTTCAGCCTGCTGAGATAAGTAGTTGAGCATCTGGCACTTGTGAACTGGTTAATGGTGGAGGATCAGTTTTACTACACAAAAAGGAACTCTAATTGCGGGTGTTGATGTAGAACAAGGCCAGGTAGCCTCCAATGGTTAAGACCTCCACTTGATTTCTTCCCCCTCACAGACACCTATGGATTGCATCAGCCTCATTTTTTTCAAAGTATGATGAGACTGGCATCTATAGACCCAGGTGCCACACAATTTCTTCTTGTAGGGGTTGGTTCAGATATGTGCAGCCTTCTCTTCCATTTCTATCCCCGGAAAGTCCCCCCCCCCAGCACCTAGAGACATCAAAATTACAGAGAAGTATCCCTGGAAAGTCCCCCCCCCCCGGCACCTAGAGACACAAAAATGACAGAGAAGCTTCTCTTGATTCTCCCCTACAGTCCCTCCAAGTTTGGCGAACATTGGGTTTCCCCACGCCAGTGCCAAAGGGCACGCTCCTGGGGTGTATAACTGGAATGCCTGAAACCCAAACGTCATCAAACTTGCAGGGCTTGTACAGGAGAGTCAGAGGAAGTCTTGATTCTCCCCTACAGTCCCTCCAAGTTTGGCGAACATTGGGTTTCCCCACGCCAGTGCCAAAGGGCACGCTCCTGGGGTGTATAACTGGAATGCCTGAAACCCAAACGTCATCAAACTTGCAGGGCTTGTACAGGAGAGTCAGAGGAAGCTGCCAAAGGGCATGCTCCTGGGGTGTATAACTGGGATGCCTGAAACCCAAACATCAGGGCTTGTACAGGAGAGTCAGAGGAAGCTTCCCTGCAAATTTCTTGCCCCTAGGTGCTTGGGTGTGTGTGGGTGCGCCATTTTATAGGGGTTAAAATTCAAAAACAAATATATGACTCAATTCATCTTTTCATAAAAAAAAATCGTAAATTTGTAATTTGTGATTCATTGACCTTGATGAATCACAAATCACAACAAATTGCCACTTTTCTGATTCATGCCCATCTCTACTTATGACTACTCTAGAAAGCCCTATAAAGGGGTCACCATAAATTGGAATCGCTCAATAGCATGGAATTATAATTAAAGTGAATGAATATTCTGGCTCTGATGTTTGCCCTGTGGCCACTTCCTCACCCATACACTAATGTCACTGTTGAATGATGTCATCATCATTACAGAAACATCCACCTGGGGAGTGGACCACCCAAGTTACATACAATTTATTTGTTAAATGATTTATATTTCACCTTTCCTCCAGTGAGCTGCTCCCCAATTGATCCACGCAATTGTTCCTGGCCCAATCTGGGTTCTAAAATTCTCTGGCAAGGCCTCACCCATACACTAATGTCACTGTTGAATGATGTCATCATCATTACAGAAACATCCACCTGGGGAGTGGACCACCCAAGTTACATACAATTTATTTGTTAAATGATTTATATTTCACCTTTCCTCCAGTGAGCTGCTCCCCAATTGATCCACGCAATTGTTCCTGGCCCAATCTGGGTTCTAAAATTCTCTGGCAAGGAATCAGGCATTATCCACACAATTGTTCCCGGCCCAATCTGGGTTCTAAAATTCTCCGGCAAGGAATCAGGCATAGGCACAAACCGCTGAACCAAAGGCCCAATTTTATTTGAATAGCAGCAAAGAAAAGGTCAGCTGGGACTTCTCTTTAAAGCATAGAAAGACACCCCCCCCCAGAATACAGTGTACAGATGTTTTATATGATATAAACAAAGAGTCATTAAAATGCTACAATTCTATTGGACATTTGTATCCCAACTTTGGATCCAGTTCCTCATTGGATAATTAATGGCAATTATGCTAATCTATTGGTTAAATGTAAGAAAATATATTATGCCCCATCTTTCCTTGACCTATGTCTATGATGCATCAAGGATGTGCCTAAAAGTCTGGGGCATAGAGTTATCTTTTTCCCTTTATATATTACTATGTCTATGTATTGTCTGGGCCTAGTTTCTCTGAGGCCTGTGTTCGTCTCTGCTAAGGGTTATCTGTGAATGTTTTAGGGTTGAATTCTCCCGAGGCCTGGTTTACCTCCGAATGTACTGTCAGTTATTAATTCATTGATAAATCTTAAAATAGAGTTTCAACTTTCCTCGGTATCACTATGACCTTCCAAGATACATTGGTGCCTCGCATTGTGACGTGAATTCGTTCTGCAAAAATTGCTGTTGAACGAAAACTATGACCTTCCAAGATACAGTGGTGCCTCGCATTGGACATTAATTCGTTCCGCAAAAATTGCTGTTGAACGAAAACGTGGCAATGTGATATTAAAAAGCCCATAGAAACGCATTAAAACCTGATTAATGAGTTCCTATGGGCTTAAAACTCACCGTTCAGCGAAGATCCTCCATAGCGCGGCCTTTTTCGGTTGCTGTAGAGCGAGGAATCCATCCCAGAAAACAGCGGGTGGCCATTTTGTTTACCTGGTGACCATTTTGAAACCGCTGATGAGCTGTTTTAAAATTGTCACTTTGCGATGCTCGGTTCCCGAAGCAGGGAACCAATCATCGCAAAGGGAAATTCCCCCATAGGGAACATCGTTTTGTGATCGCTTTTGCGATTGCAAAAAATGCATCGCAAAGCAATTTTGACGCAAAATGGAGCGCTCGCTAAGCGAGGCACCACTTTACATCAGGGTGAGACAGAGAGAGTGTGGTATTCCCCTTGTCTCAGCCCATCACTCTACCCAACACACCACACCGACTACTGGTGGTATAGCCATTAACCTAAGGACAGTAAAGGTTGGACTCACCAGATGTTGGTGAATTACCATTCCCATCACACCTCATCACTGACTAGGCTGTTTAAGGCTAGTGGAAGCCAAAGTTCCACCATACATGGAGAACCACAGGTTCTCTCCTTTAGCCTTTTCACTTTTAGTGGATTAGAACCAGGGTGTCATAAGGATCAGTTTTTCCCCATATGGACCAGTTTGGCTTTTATGATCTTCTCTTGGAGACCTTCCGAGGGTTGCTCCCAGCTGATGAAGTGAGGCACACGATTAGCGATGTGGCTAACACAGAAGCCGTTTTGCTAGAACATCCTTCCTGAACAGATCTGTGAAACGCTTTCGCTGACAACGTTAGGGACCAAGTAAAAATGTTCCTTTTAAACAAGATTTTGGATTGATTGATATTTGCGGTTTTTAGTGGATGCAAATTTAGCAATTTGCTGTTTTATGGATGCAAATTTGGTTGTGTTGAATGTTAGTTAATGATTTTTTTTTCCACTGCCAAATGTTTTGTTTCCCTTGGAAGAGTTTACTATTTTAATTGTTTAACATTATTACAGTTTATATGTGTCGTTCCCTGTAGATATGTAGAAAAGCAGCTAATAAAAATTGTAAATAAATTCCATGATCCAACAGCACAATTTTCTTTTTTTTTTTCTCGCTGAGCTACATCCAGTTGCCAGTTCCAACTCAAGTAGACTCATTGAACCAGTGGGATCTGACTGGCCAAACTCCCATTGATTGATGGGTCTACTCTAGGGGCAAGAAGCAATTTTATGCCAATAAAGGTTGCTTTGCTTTGCAAGTAGCAATTAGATTTAACCCTATGTTCCTTGATGCCTTTTCAGTTTCCAAATGGTGACAAGATGGAACCCTATGACCCCTCTTGGGGAAATCCCCGCTGGTCGTCGGGTGATTCAGACATCTATGCCATTACCTACGAGAAACATCTTTTCAAGTACGGGCATCCAACCACTTTGGTAAGTCTCCGGCAAGCGCCTTGATGAACTTCAGCAGCTTAATTGGGTTGGGGAAAGGAGGAATGGAGGAAAGTAATAAATCTGTCAGTGTCAATTTAGTCCATGTTTAAGTTGGTTACATGGATTAGATAACATGCTTCCCTCCCATTACAGCAGCTCCACTGGCTGCTGATATCTTTCCAGACTGGTTTTAACCTATGGAGTTGGGTCCAAGCTATCTCAAGGACAGCATATCCACATTGTGAACCTGCTCAGGTGTTAAGACCACCAGGGGAGACCTTTCTCTTGATCCCACCACCTTCACATTTGTGTTTGGTGAGGACACGGGAGAGTTACTGCTCCCAGACTTTGGAACTCCCTCCCACAGGAGGCCAGACTGGCCCCATCTTTGCTCTCCTCCCACAAGTGAATGAAGACCTTTCTCTTCTGGCAGGTTTTTCCTTAGTGACTGACTATCTAGCAGACAATAAATGGGATGGTTTATATTTTGTTGCTTCGAAATCTGTTGGGGCTTTTAAAAATGCTTTTACCTAACGTTTTTTAAATAATGTTATCATTTCTTTAATATTTGAATATTTACTGTTTTTAACTTTTAGTATTGTGTTTTAACCATCTAAGCTGCCTTAGGTCCCTCACTTTTAGGAGAAAGGCGGGGTAAAAATATTTTAAATAAAATAAATACATGAAACAGTTAAACCCCGGGGTCTTTTTATCCTCACTCTTTCAAATATGAAATCTGTGAATTTAAGTAAGCCCATTCAAAACACACAGAGTGAAATTCTCCTCAGCTGTGCTGGTCAAGTTCAACAGGTACAGCTAGTCCCAATCTAGAGAGGATTCACCTGCCCGGCCATGGAAATGTTAAATACATCACTTTACTATCCTAAATGCACCTGATCTCATCTGATTTTAGCTGCTAAGCAGGATCCAGATTGATTAGAACTCAGATGGACTACCACTTGGGAATACTTGGGTCTACATATAGGATCAGGGAGGAATTCTACCCTGAATATGGAAGAGCTACTGCCAGCCAGCTTCATGATGACATGAAGCTAGATGAACCAATGATTTTATTCCTTCTAAGCAGCTTACAATATTCACGTAAGACGCTGGTCAGGAACCACCACCACCCAAAAAAACCAGGTGGCAAATGGGTTGTAGATTAAATCCAGCCTGAACTATCTCTGGAGGCAAAGAATGTTGAACCTGAGGTTGTCCTATTTTGGGCCCATCATGCGAATAACGGATTCTCTGAAAAAAAAAAACCAACAATAATGCTGGGAAAGGTGGAAGACAGCAGAAAAAGAGGAAGATAAAATATGAGGTGGACTGACTCCCTAAAGCAGTGGTCCCCAACCTTGGGCCTCCAGATGTTCTTGGACTACAATTCCCAGAAGCCTTCACCACCACCTTTGCTGCCCAAGATTTCTGGGAGCTGAAGTCTAAGAACATCTGGAGGCCCAAGGTTGGGGACTGCTGTCCTAAGGATAACACAGGGTTGAATTTACAAGAGCTGAGCAGGACAGTTAAGGGCAGGACCTTTTGGAGAGCAGTCACTCATACGGGTGGCATGAATCAGAGTCAAGTTGATGGGATGTCACAACAACAACAACAACAACTCTAGTTTACTCCTAACACGGCTGAATGCACAGGGATTCAAAACCAGACCTCTCAGATTTAAGCACTTCAAACCCCAGGTCTAGTTGGAGAAATTTGTCAGTTGAATTTCTTTGAAATATCAACGTCTTTCTGTTCTATATAATATGATGTATGCACATTTTTGTAGGTGCCTATTTGAAAAAGTCACAAGAACGATTTTTTTTTAACCCAGCTCTTTGTCTGCTAAAGCCTTTGAAAGGGAGGTTGGGGCAACGATGTGGAAGGGCATTCTGACTTTCTTCTCCGTTTCTGGCTAATTCTCTCTTCTGTTCGAATTCTCCCCAGCCCATCAGTACCATGGACAGCAGCTCCCCCCTTCCGGCTGTGCACCGTGGCCCCAGGAATGTACGCAGTGCTACCCAGGTGTGATGCCAGGAAGACCCAATGAGGGACTTTGACTTGAACCAAGCTCGTTGCCAAGATGTGGCCACCAATAAGGGACCTGGCCATCCAAAGATAAAACCAGGCCTTCTTCTCGTGGTGCGTTTTTTTTTTCCAACAAGGAACGAATTGTTGGGCATCAGACCCAAGCTTCTGAAATTAGAACCTTGTTTTCCTGGAATAACAAAAGTATGAAACCAGGAAACTGGGCCTATGAGATGTGGACTCAATATTTGTTGCAGTGACCCAGCCTAGTCAGGGAAGAGTTACAGAGACTCAGTATCAAAGAGGATTCATTTTATAGATCCTGGATATAAAGAATTACTTCTGGCATTGTGGGCTGTGCTTTGTGGCCACGCTTAAAAGGATCTCTTGAAATGGTGCCCTTGACTTGACTTGTTGGCATGAAACAAAAGGGTTTTCTGCTTCATAGATAATATGTGGACAAAGAACCCTAAGCTTGCCTTCTAGAAGGGGATGCTGTGAATAAGAGCGCCGATGATATATGGAAAAACTTTGGCTTAGGAAGCAGCTGGAGCGGTGACCTCACTGGGGAGGTATCACACCCCATTTCTAGAGCCTTGAAAACTATCAGGAATGACCTCCTATTTTTGGGCATGACTGAAAATGGTGGCACTTCCTCCTTGAATCTGGGAGAGGGTTTGAAGAAGGTATTATTTTGTCTTTGAGGTGGCAAGGAGAAAGCAGAGGTGGAAGGGGCCTCGTGGATCATCCAGTCCAGCCCCTGTCAAGGAGGCATAGTGGGGAATTGAACTCCCAACCTCTGATTCTGAAGCCACATATCTAAACCACAGAGCTAACCAGCAGTTCTCTCCACTCGTTTCATCCTTTTCCTGTGAGTAAGAGCAACCACAAAATTATTCTCCTCTCCCCCACGAGGGCAAGATATTTACCAGTGTTCTTCACAAGAGAAGAGGTGAGAATCTTGGAAGTGACCCTTTCATGCACATTGCACAAAATAATGATGGCCAATAGCTTTGTTACATCAAAATTTAAGGTTTAGAAGTCTCACCAGTGTTATTTGTATCTTTTAAAATAAAATAATAATAATGATCAACTCGTACTTGTTCACATGTGGGCCTTTTTCTCAAAGACACTAGTTTTACATGGAGACAGTGTGCACAAACTACGATGCCCTTCAACAAAAATTAAAATTATGAGTGCTCATCTTATTCATACATGAAAGCGACACCTCTTTCAAGACTCAAAAACACCTAATACAAGTCTCCTGCTGTGTTGAGACAGCCTAAATTGCCCTGAACTAAGAAAGCAATTTTAAAAAGACCCCTCCCCCCCAGGAGAAAGTGTGTGGGATGCTTTGAAGAAAAGGACCCTTTCTCCCTGAGCTGTACGGCAGTGGAAAGTGGAAGTGTCACTGGAGATGTCAATCTGCTCTGGGTTTTTCATCTGAACTTTAGAAGACTCCACCTAAGGTGCTGACCTTGGTTTGAGCCTATAGCTCAGCAAAGGCTGGATTCTACAAAGTTCAGATCAAGCCCCGGAGTGGATCCACCCTCACCTCCACCCCATTGAGACTGGAGCCTGTAGCTTCTCGTGGTGCGGGGGTTATGGTACAAACAAGCTGTTGGATTCTCTTTAGATTCTGTCTATCATCTCTGCAGCATTGCCTGATCCCAGTTCCTAGTCTTCATGTAAAACAAGAAGAAGTCTTTCAAGGTGACTCAACCTGGGAAAGAAGCAGTACAGTTGCTTCAACCTTTCCCACATCATGCCAACAATCTGTATGACTATACAGAAGGAGGGGCTGCTTTTGTTTCGCCAAAACTGGAATATGGCCATCCTACCAAGTGGGGGGAAGACAGTATTCAGTTTTTAAGCATGGACTCATTTGACAAAGGTATAGGTAAAAATAAAGGTTCCCCTTGACATTTAGTTCAGTCGCATCTGACTCTAGGGCACGGTGCTCATCCCCATCTCCAAGCCGTACAGCCAGTGTTTGTCCGAAGACAGTTTCCATGGTCCTGTGGCCAGTGCAACTAGACACGGAATGCCATGACCTTCCCACTGAGGTGGTACCTATTTATCTACTTGCATTTTACATGCTTTTGAGCTGCTAGGTTGGCAGGAGCTGGGACAAACGACTGGAGCTCACTCCTTCACGTGGATTTGATCTTATGACTGCTGGTCTTCTGACCTTGTAGCCCAGAGGCTTCTGCGGTTTAACCCGCAGTGCCACCACATCCCCAACAAAGAGGATACCTACTTTCTAAAATAGTAAAGAAGTCGTGACTTCCTTGTTTGGAATGGACAAACCAGGGTGTGATCTATGTTTCCTTGTTCTGATGAGTGCTTTTTTTCTTTTTGAACATCTTTTTAAGAGGCTGAGTGATGCTGATTTTGCTGGTATGTACAACATGATAACCAGCGAGCGGGGTGCATCTATTGGTCCATGACCAGTTTTCTTTTCAGTAACAAGACACTCTAATGCACTCATTTATTCGTATCCAGGTGAGGCGCTCTCCACAGTTGAGAAGTGCATGACAGGATGGTCTGAGACTTCTCTTTGGGTTCTGCGCAATGAGCTGGAATGATTTTTTGTTTGCTTTTCATAAAAGGGCTGATTGGAAAAAAAATTAGCATTGTTAAAACATGCAGACAAAGGAGGGGGGAAATCACCCTCCAGCTTTCTGTATAAAAGGGAAAGTAGAGCATTGAATCCACTCTCAGAAAATACTTCATGTTGTTTTTCTCCATTTCCCCTGAAGGCCTGCACGAAGGGGGCTACATTAGTAGGAAAATTAAAACAGTGTTATATATTAACACAGTTTTAATTTTCTTAGTAGTACAATCCCCTTTGTGCCAGCCTTAACGAGAGTTCTTATTTGTTTTGGAAGAGCCCTGTGAAGCCTCTTTAATGAATTTCTTCTGATGTTGTATAATTAAGGTAGGATAGTAGACACACAACATGGACAGCCATGGAAAAGCAGGTACCATAAGGAGGCACCAAAACACATGTAATTTAAGGAGAAGAGTTAAATTCTTTTTCCCGGGGAATCATAGACTGGCCTTTGTCTTCTTATGCTTGAAGATCTGCCAATCATTGGGTGGCAGTGGAAAGGAAGATGTCTCAAATCCTACAGGATTCTCCACCACCTCCACCAGCTTGTCCAGCTGCATGAGTCTGAAGGGTCTCCATCAAGGATGTTGCGTTCACATTGGTACTAGCAATGAGGGAAGGGTATATGTAGAATCTGTAACAGGTCCCCAGCATTCCTTGAAGATGACTAGCTCAAACAGGCTGGAAGTAGGTTCCACCTGCTCAGTAAGAATTACTGCAGCAGCAGGTTGCTGCTGATTAGAGACTTTTTTTCCAATTCCAAGAGGCAGATGGCTTCATCTCATTGCATGTGAGTTGTGCACACTCCAGAATGGGGGAAAAAAAGACATCTTTACTTAGTGGCAGCCTTTTTTCAATTCCAAGGGGCAGATGGCTTCATCTCATTGCACGTGAGTTGTGCACACTCCAGAATGGGGGGAAAAAAGACATCTTTACTTAGTGGCAGCCTGCCACTGACAGTGACACCATTGCTTTCTGTTTTGTCGCTTATCACTAGAAGGACAGCATGGCTTTGTTTGCACACCCAATATCTCAGGCTGATGACCTTGAAGGGTTTGCCTGAATGGCGAGATAACCTTGTAAGAGGAAGGAACAACATTTGCCTTAATGAGCAGTCTGCTTCACTCAAGACACAGCAGGATTCACACTTGGAAAGCCTCCTCATTGATGCTGAGCGCAAAATGACAGGGGACAGCAATGATGTTGGGGTCCAGGTTATGAGAAATTGGTGGCCCTATGAGAACCAGCGGAATGGAACAGTTTGAATGCTAGGCTTGGAAGTTCAAGTTTCTAGTCCTCACCAGGCATGGCACTAGGTGAGTGGACTTGAGACAGTCCCTACCTCAGCCTGTCCTCCCTCACACAGTGATTGTTGTGAGGATGAAGGCTGGAGGTGGGGAGCCATGTATGCTACCTTTCTATCCCTGGAGAAGCAGCTGAATGGATGAATGGACCGAACAAGCAAAGAATCGCTGGACAGCCTCTCTGGTCTCTGTAGGCGTTTTTCAATGTTTCAGGTCCCTCCACTGGATTTGTGCCTTTGGCTCTCTGTGCCTACCTGAGCTGTCTTTTCTCTAGACATTTCCTCTTCTCCTTAGGTGTTGATGGATTGCAGAAGGGGTGTGAAACCCCCAGAAACAACAGCCCAGGACTGGGCTTTGAAACCAAGTAATGCGCATTATGTTTCTTTCCCCAGAGAGATTCGCCAACGGAGTCCAGTCCCCACCCCCTCCTCTGATGAGGTTTGGGTATTTAGCCCCGCTAATCTGTCCTGATGGCTGACTCCCCCCTGGCTCTTCAATCATTTTTGTTGCTTTTAAATGGGAAGGCCTGATGGAAGCTAAATGAGCAGCCGCTCTGGCGATGGGCAATTGGTCTGATTGGAGATGGCCCAAGGGAGGGGAGGGGGTGCGCAGAAATGGTCAGGCTAGGGATGAGTTGAGAAGGACTGCAGTGGGACTGATAGGGAGTCTTGCCCTCCTGGGAGGAACGGATGCCTTAGAAGGACACAGACCTGCAGAGGAGGGAGGGAGGGAGGGAGAGGGTTCTGCCGCAGTCATAGCAAGTCACTGTAGAATTTCCTTCTGCGGTGACTCAGGGCTCAATCAGACGGGCATGTGCGCCACTCTTTGGCACACCGCGGGGACAGGTTCGTTCTTTATTTTCTCTGGAGTTCAGACAACCTCTTCACATCTTTTCGAGCCCCTGTCCAGGGCTTCTACTCTGTGTGTGTGTGTGTGTGTGGGGAATGCACTCTAGTTTGATCCATTCCCAGTACATGTGATCACTGGGAATGGACCACAATTGAGCCTTGAAGCTGCCAAAGCTGTCAAGGCTCCTTTTGCTCTCCGTGTCTGGGATTGTGAAGCAGCTTAATAAGCAGACCACTTCAGGATATCTGCAAATCGAACACTTCCCCTGCTCCTCTGTGGCGAGGCAGGGGGAGTGAAATTATTCATTTCCCCTGTGCTAGATTATCACTGATGTGCTGAATCACTTGGGTTAAATTATAAAAAAACATTTCCTTTGTCTTGTATGCAGTGCTGATTGAGAAACCGTATATTCCAAATGATTCAGCACATTTTGCTGAAATAATTTCACTTCCCCTGCCTTTCTACAGGGGAGCAGGGGAAGTGTTCAATTTGCCAATACCCTGAAGTGGCTTGTATATTAATCCACTTCACGATACCAGAAATAGGGTCACTTGAGGTCATTTTGCCATTTGGATACAAGGATTGCACTTAATGGCATATCATTCCTCACCTGACCTCAAGCAACCCTATTTAGACTACACCAGCCCACCCAAAGGGCCAGTAAGGTCACATCCTAAGGTGAGATAAAGAGGCTCTTTATTGAAAAATATTGTTTACTTAGGGTGAGAAATTCTGAAGAGTCCTTGAGCCAAGAGTCTATCCATGGGGCTCACTACGGCCAGACCTCAAAGATCAGCAAAAATTATGAAAAACCAGAATACAATATTGTTCTGGTTACAGTTTTCTTGTGCTGAGCTTAAGAACTGGGGGGTTTGCACCCTATTAGTTACAAAATCATGGGCTCAGATACTTCCAGAATGGAAAAGTGCCTCATCCACCCCCACCCACCCCCCGATTATTTTGTTAGGACATCCAGGAACTAAAACAAAATGGCAGCCCAGAAGGCATTTTGCCCTGTTCTGACATCTTGTGCATGGCTACAGGATGGGGGTCCCAAATCCTCATCGCCTGCAATTATTTGTGAATGACTACAGACTGTTTACCCTTCTCCAACTGAATTCCAGAACTTCGTTATTGTTATTGTCTTTGTCATCATCCTCACACAATCATCATGGCTTGTAACCCAAGCAGGAGAGGCCCCTGCATTGTTCTACAAGTTGTTTGTTACATTTATATAACATTTATATAAGAACCCGACGGATTATGATAGGATAG